GGTGAATGGGATGAGTCGCATGGGGGGCGACGGAGGGGGGCCGCCCCCGTGTCCTTTATCTTCGATGCCCGTTCTACGTCAAGTCAGATCTCTTCCTGGCTCTCTACCTGCGCCCCGCCCACCCCCCCACCCGACAGTTCGGCATCTAAATCATGTCTCGCCCTCCCTATTGTCCCCCATCGGTGTCCTCATCCCGTTCCCTGCTTTTGTGTTCTCTCTCTCTCTCTCTCTCTCTCTCTCTCTATCTCCTCTCTCTCTCTCTCTCTCTCTCTCTCTCTTCATCTCTCTCTCGTTCTTATTTTTTTTTTTTTTTTTTTTTTTTTTTTTTTTTTTTTTTTTTGTTTGTCTCTCTTCCTCTCTCCTCTCTCTCTCTCTCAATCTGTCATCTCTCTCTCTCTCTCTCTCTCTCTCTCCCTTTCTCCTCCCTCTCTTGCTCTCGCATCTGCTCTGCATCCGAATTATTTTCTACCCCCACCCGCCCCCCCCCCCCCCCCCCCCACCCCCCCCTCTCTACCCCTCGCTCCCGCCCCGCCCATCCCTCTTCTGGGCCCGCTTTTCCTATCGCTCTCTTCCCTCCCATCCACTCATCGCCTCGCACCCCCCCCCACCTCGCCCCCCTGCGCCGCTCTCCCAACACCCGTTTCCATTTTAAAAATTCAAAAGGCATTGTCTATAAATATATATAATAGAAATATATATATATATAAATATATATATACGTAGCACCCCGCAAATTGCGGAGCGAGTGGAGGGGGGCGCGGGCGACGCGGCGTCGTCGAGCGGCGACGTCGTGGCCCCCGCCCATCCCTGTCAATGGCGCCTCTCCTCCTCCATCCCTCCTCCTTCTCCTCCTCACCCCTCCTCCTCCTCCTCTTCCTCGTCTCGTCCCTCGTCGTCGTCGTCACCCCCCCTCCTCCAAATCGCCCTCCCCTCCTCCTCCTCCTCCCTCCTCCTCTTCTCCTCGTCCTCCCTCACCACCACCTCCCCCCCTCGTCCTTTCATCATCGTCCTCACATTGTCTCCCCCCCTCATCGCCTCATCAACGCCCTCCCATGGGACGCCACCATCATCACCCTCCCCCCTCCTCACCCCTCCTCGTCCCTCCTCCCCCCCACCCCCCCCCCTCCTCGTCCTCCTGCTCCTCCTCCTTGTCTTTCTCCACATTCTCCTTACATCCTCTCTTCTTCCGCGATCTCCTCGTCCCCTGTTTACTCCTCCTGCCTCCCCCTCCTTTTCCCAAGATAGCTGCAACGCAATCCTTTTTGTTCCACTTTATGCTCCCCGCCTTCTCTGATCAAGGCAACTCGCCAGGGCAGAGTTGCTGGGCGGGTTGGCGTGGATGCGCGGGGCTTGAAGAGGTCCTCGCGGGCTCAGACGGCATTCAAAAATCCGCCGCCGCGCTTGTGCGGCATTGGTTTGATCAGCGAACGTGGTTTAGGTCGCAGGTGGGTCGCGGGCGCTCCACCTCCACCTGGAAGGAATGCAAAAGCAGCCCGCCGCAGGCGCCAAAACAATTGGTTTGCACATTGAACGTGGTTTGGGTCGCGGGTGCGCCGCGGGTTCTCCACCGGGAACGAATGCAAAAGATGCCCGCCGCAGGCGCCGAAAAATGCGGTTTGCACCCTGAACGTGGTCGCGGGTGGGCCGCGGGCTCTCCGCCTGAAACGAATGCAAAAGATGCCCGCCGCAGGCGCCGAAAAATGTGGTCTGTGCCCTGAACGTGGTTTGGGTCGCGGGTTGGTCGCGAGTTGGTCACGGGGTGGGTCGCGGGCTCTCCACCTGGAAGAAATGCAAAAAAAGCCCGTCGCAGGCGCCAATAATGGTGGTTTGTACCTTGAATGTGGTTTGGGTCGCGGGTGGGTCGCGGGTGGGCCGGGGAAGGTCGCGGTGGGTCGCGGTGGGTCGCGGGTGGGTCGCGGGTGGGTCGCGGGGTGGGTCGCGGGGTGGGCCGCGGGTGGGTCGCGGGGTGGGCCGCGGGGTGGGCCGCGGGGTGGTTCGCGGGGTGGGTCGCGGGGTGGGTCGCGGGTGGGTCGCGGGTGGGTCGCGGGTGGGTCGCGGGTGGGTCGCGGGGCGGGTCGCGGGGTGGGTCGCGGGGTGGGTCGCGGGGCGGGTTGCGGGCGGGACGACGACAACAAACAACAACAACACACAACAACAAACAACAACAACAACGAGAATCCGCACCGCGGAAGTCCACTTCAGCCACGCACCCAGGCACAGTGAATGACCGTTCGGCCCCCTCACTCTGATATATATATATATATATATATATATATATATATATCCTTTACAAAAGCGTCTCGGGCCAAAAAGGCCGGGAGCCCAGGAGGGAGAGAGCCCGGGAGGAGACGGAGATGCCGACAGGCTCAGCGATTAGCAAAGCACTCACTCACAGAGGCCAACCGACGATAGGGCGATAGACCGAGCCTGGGAGATCCACCATTTTTGGCACGTGCGCTCGACCCACCCCGAGCGATACAGTTCATGAAATCAGCTCGCCTGATAATACTGTCGGCCCAGCCGCGGCTGAGATTCCACCAGAAAAATCGGCATGGCCACTGCCTATGGATACACGCTGGTACAGGGGATGGCAGGGCGGGAACACCAGAACTACGGATCAACATGTATTGCAGATCCCCTCGACTCGCGCAAGGAAAAAGGGAAGCAGAGCTACTGGGCATTTCCTTTACAAAAGCGTCTCGGGCCAAAAAGGCCAGGAGCCCAGGAGGGAGAGAGCCCAGGATGAGACGGAGATGCCGACAGGCTCAGCGATTAGCAATGCACTCACTCACAGAGGCCAACCGACGATAGGGTGATAGACCGAGCCTGGGAGATCCACCATTTTTGGCACGTGCGCTCGACCCACCCCGAGCGATACAGTTCATGAAATCAGCTCGCCTGATAATACTGTCGGCCCAGCCGCGGCTGAGACTCCACCAGAAAAATCGGCATGGCCAACTTACCAGAGTAGAGTCTCGTCCACAATACTTCTGGCTATGGATCATGAGGGAAAGGGCGGGAGGGTGCATGATCGCGCAACCTTCAGCTTGCCCGACAGGTTGGCTGCGAAGGAACAACATGGCGGCATTTCCAATTTCGAACTTGAAAAGGACTTGATTTAGACAATATAGGTACCTTCCGAGCTTGCTGTAGCGAAACGAAACGATGGCGCCGTACACCAGGTGCTGGGGCGGCGTGGCGTGCACGGCGCACGGGCCGGGCGCGGGGTGGTCCACCCCCGCTACCAACTGTGCCGGCCAGCTGACCGGCATCCCGACGAACGGCACGTGCTCGTCAGCGGGGTTGACGAAGCTGACCTTGACCCGACTGATGTTGTCGGAGTGGTGTCCTGCAGATTGGAGGCGTGCAGAGCTTCCCACCAGCATTTGCAGGAGCACGCCGCACCCGTGAGCTGGGCGGTGGCGCTGTGTCGCAGGGGTCGGCCGGCGACCGAACGACCACTGCAGGCGTGCTGGTTGAAGGGCCCGTAGATGCTGGGGAGCGGGCAGCCAGTGCTCGATGCCACCGTGCCCGCGAGTCTCCACAGCCCCAACTTTCAGAGAGATCTCCCCACGGTAATGCGAATCTTCTTGGACAAGTTGGGATTGGCGGTGGTTCCACTCCGCGCCCGCCGAGCGAGGCCGCCAGATCACGACGCCATCGGATATGAAGTACCGGTTCGCGAGGATTACGAGAAGCAGTAAGTGGAGCATTACGCTCAACCACTCGAGCCAATTCGCGACATAGAGCTGGCGGATACGCAGCAGCAAGGGACGTTTTCCATTTCAGGGCGTGCTTGCCGGGAGCCACTTCAACTTTAACTTTCCCTTGGAGGATCTCGTGGGGCGCCTGACACCGACAAAGTCTTCCTACTTCTTGGAGGCCTTCAAGAGTTCCCACTAGACGAGTTCGCTTACGATAGGGGGTGCCGTACCTGCAGTAGTCCACGATGGCCTCTTGGGCCCCCTGGGTCTTGAAGAGATCCTTGAGAGGCGTCCACTTGAAGAGCTTAGAGCTAATGGGGTTCTCCAGACTCCACCTCACTCTATACCGATGAGCCGCACGGAGGATACGTAGAGTGGCCACAGCGGTTGGGTCCTGGATGTCGTCGGGAGCCTCTGGAGAACTGCGAGCGCTTGTCCAGTTAGTACACGGAGTACCTAGCCAAAGCAGCCAAATCTTCCCCGACTTAATCCAGTTCAGGATCTTCCGAAGTACCCGAGGATCAGTAATATCATAGTCCCGAGACGTGCCTATGTCGAAGGGCGGTGCGATGCGCAATCCTTTTTGTTGGCAGGCTCCTGAGAAACGAGCGCATCTCGCGAACAGCTCCAAAATGGCCAGCTCGCGCCGCGCCGGGGCAATCGGCTTGGAGAGTGAGCTCTCTCCTCGGCGCTCAGCCGCGCCGGCCCGAGGCGGAAGTCTCGCCCCTCCCTTCGACGTGGCTCTCATTGGAGCCGGCCCGCTTGTGGAAAATGTGATCGTGGTGTCTGATGAAGAACAGGAAGCTGGCCGCTCAGCCCGATCATCCAAGGCGGCTGTAACGGATATTGGCGAAGTGGCGGTCTTCGACGAAGGCTCAGCTCGAACTCGGTCTCTATCTGCCAGCTCATGTTGGCCCCGGCCTCGAAGACGTGCCCACAGCGCGCCTCAACCCAGTGCTTCCCCTGCGGCAAGATGTCCGCGGTCGGCCAACCTCGAGTCCTCGTCCGAGCAGTTCCTCTCGCTCACGATATGACGGCGGCGCCACCGAAGCCCAGTGACCCCTTGGAGCGCCCCAGCTCGACGGCGCAGCGCGTTGAGCTCGCGATCCTTGGCGCGCCCGCGCTCGGTTGCCAGGATCTCGGACAGGTTACCCCCGACGGACAGAACCTCAGCATCCCAGTTGCGAGAGGACCTCGTATAGCGACGGAGCCCCAGCAGAGCGGCCCGAGCCTCCTTGTTGTGGATGGCGTCCGCTCGACACCAGGCCCCCACCACCGCGCGTCGCCACCGAAGACGGTCAGAGTAGACCGCCGCGAGCTCCGGCAGGGCGTGAGCGTCGGCACCCAGCGTAGCCCGCCGCGACGCCACAGCCGACGAGCCCGCGCTCCACGTAGAGGTCGTTAACTCCGCTGGCCCCACCTCGCCAAAGCCCAGCTCCTCCTCGAAGGCCGGGGCGAGCGAGGTCGAGTCCGCGGCGATGGAGCTGGGGAAAGGGTCGGAGTCCGTGGCGTCGTCCTGCGTGTACTCCTCGATGGTCTTGAATCGCCAGCGCTCCCGCCACCTGATCGCGTCCAGCACCTCCCGCTCTGAAAACCGGCCGACGTGCAGCGCGTAGCCCGCCCCGCTGGAGTCGGAGCAAGACACCGTAGTCGCCGTCTTCCGGCGAACACGATGTCGGGTGATGAGCACAAGGCCCGCCGCTGTCTGCAACTCGCCAATCACTGCCGGGGTCAGCTCTGCGACCTGATCCGTGTGCTCGGAGAGCCAGCGCCACACCTCGTGCAAGACAGACATGAAGGGCGGGAACAGCATAAAATGATTGACCAGGTGGCCCACTAGGCGTCGTACCCGCCGATCCGAAAAGCGGCGACACCGAATGGCAGAATGAAGAGCGTAGTACAACCGCCACGTGCGCTCCGTCTTGTGCAGGATGAACGGCTGAGATCCGCCCAGCAGCCGAAGCCCTACCTGCACGACGTCCCGCTCGGCGCAGATCTCGACCCGCCACGCGAAACCCCGTCGCTTCAGCTCCTCCAACAGGTATCGGAAGCACTCTGAAGCGTCCTCGCGGTTCCAGCAGATCAAGAAGGCGTTGTCCACGTACGGCGCGAGGATGGGAAGGCCGGGCTGGAGAAAGGGGGGCGGTCGACGATCGCGAAGCACTCGCGAGTCCACCATCTCCCTATCCTCGATGCCAAGCCGCCTCATCTCCGCACAAACCTGAATGTCGGTCAGCGCGGAATGGCAGAAAAAGAGTGCCCACGTCCAGCCCATCGGAATAACCTTCACGCACGTCCACAGCATCTCGTCGGAGTCGACCGAGTCCCAGCATCGACGATCGTCATCGAAGACCTTCGTGACGCCGAAGTCGCTCGCCCGCACCTTGTGGGCCAGGCAAAAGTAGCCGGCGACCTCCTCAAACTCGAACTGGAAGTAACCGTCGGTCAAGTCCGCGCCCGAGAAGTGCATATCTCACGGACGGCCCGCGGCGTCGTGCTCCGTAGCCAAGGTCTCGCCGTCCCTCAACACGAAGCCCGCCGAGGCCGATGCCGTCGCTAGCTGACTGACCGGAGGATCGCGGTGCAAAACGTTTGCGGGCCTGCAGTCCAGAACGAGCCTCAAGTGGTGCCCGTCCTTCTTGATCACCGTGAAGGCGCCCACGAAGCAGCGCGCTCGGCGGCGAAAGGACAGCATCCCCGCGTCGTTCAGCTTATTCACGAGAGCGCTCATGTGGCGTGGGTCGCGCAGCACGGGGTCGAGGTAGGGCTTCACCGTTGCCTCCGCTGCGATCCTGTTCTCATCAGTTGGAGTCCTGAAGATCCAATTCCAGGGATCAGCCGCCATTGGCCGAGCGTCAGGCCCGACCACTGCGCCGACTGGCTTGGGGTGAACGCCGCCGTCACGAACGACCCGAACGCGGGAGGCATCAAAGGGCCTGCGGGCGGCGTCGTCCGTGGAAAAGTCGTAGACGTTCAGAGCTCGAAGGACGCTTTTGAGGGCGCCCCACCTGTCAGGCCCAGAGGGGGGACACCCCAACTCCTGGAGCGACTCCCTCAGCCGAACACCCACAGCACGTTGAAGTCCAGTAGGTGCCGAAGCCGATGTGCACCGCCGAAGACGATGCCCCGCACGAGCCACCGCCAGCGCACAGAGAGCTGGCAACTTCTGCAAACCTCCGATCACAAGCGGCAGCGCGACGCGGTAAGATGCCCGCAGAGGGCGCATCACGCCGATCTCCAACACAAGGAAGGGGAAAGACGTCCCGGCTCGCCGAGTCCAGCACGAGAGCGCCGTCGTCGACGTCCAGGTGCAACCCGCGGCTCGTCCTGCCAGCAGCCGAAGAGGTCGCTGAGGCAAGTAGAGCGTCCAGGTCGCCGGCCGTTCCCACACGGGGATCATGATACGGGGTGCCGCCACGGCGAACAACGCCACCCCAGGACCGTAGAGCCATCATCCTCCCTGCGACCCTTTCGGGTCGCTGTTCTTGTCCTTGTTATTGTCCTTGTGGTTGCCGTCCTTCTGGCGCTTCGAGTCGGCCTCAGACTCCTCCTTCAACGAACGATCGCTCTTCATGATAATGGCCTGAGTCTTGCGCATCTCGGCCATCTCCTGATCGAACTGCGTCGTGACCACTCCTCCGCTGGCATCGAAGGCATGAGCCATGAACGAGTCGAGGCCTTCAAAATCGGGGTCCCGAGGATTACGGCGCACTGCCCGCTGGATCATCAGCACCCAGCGCGACGCGAACTCCGCCGCGGCCATGTTAGGCAAGTTCAACTGATCATAACACACCATCATGTGCAGCAACATCACCAGGTGGAAATGCTCGATGGCGACCGCCGTGCGCTCTCCCACCGTGCTGCTTCTCACCCAGAAAGTGTGGTACGTGCCGAACTTGTGCCCAGACGCCGCCACTCCCTTGGCTAACTCCAAGATCGAACGACTCTTCTGGAAGGGGAACCCGTCGGCCTGCATCGACTGCTTCAGTAACTTGACGGCCTCCCTCAAGGTCGTTGAGCGCGTCTGCGTGTTCGGATCCAGCTGCAAGGGTAGCAATCTCGAATCTCTGCTCTCGCCGCACAACTTCTCCTGCATCCAGCGTAACTGGTCTCTCGGAGGGACCCGCTCTGCCGTCGTCCACTCGTCGCCGCGCTTCACAAGCGCGACCGGGCCCCTCGCCACGGTCGTCGCCTCTGAGCCCAGCAAATTGTCGTCAACCTCCTCCGCGAAGAACTTGCACGACGGGTCCGAGTACATGTGCACGGCGCCGTCGGGCACAGCCGCACCTGCCACGGCGGCGACGGGCGCTCCGAGGATCTCCGCGAGCGCCCGACCCTCCACTCTGATCCTCGCCAGGTCCTGAGCGTCAATCGGGTTGTCAAATCCGTGCACATGCAAGTTGGGGGGGTACGGCGAGTTGCGCTGCAGCGGGATCATCGACACCACGGCCGCCCGATCTGACAAGTCGACCGCCCGCGCCGAGAGGTCGGGGGTAGACCAGATCCATCTCGCACCCTCCAACTTGACCAACAGTACTCGGTGATGGTGAGGAATCGCATCATCAGGATAATGAACCAATATCTGTCTCTCTGGTATGTCCAGACTCATCGCGACAGCTCAGCCCGTAGCCTCCGGCTTTCCGGCGTCTCCACGTCCGCCAGCGCGAGGCCAGCCGAAGGCGAGGGCCGTCGGAGGGGACGTCGACACTGGCCGCAGGCGCACCCAGGCGTCAGAGTCAGCAACACGCCGCAGAGCAGCCCGACCCAGAACAGCTGGAAGGCAAGCGTCCACCGGTCGCACGGCTCGGGCTCCCCGGCGGGGAGCGGACAAGGGGTAGGCGTCGACGACGATGCGGAGAGTCGGCCGACCCTCGCGATGACCTCCTCCAGCTGCCTCAGCCAGTCGGGCGCAGCGCCACTCGTCTCGCAGGGGACCACCGCGGGACACTGCAGCGACGGGCAAGTGGGGCACGGCGGAATGACTGGCGCGGCCGGGCACTCCAGGCTGGGGCTGACGGGGCCTCTTTGGCGACCCCACTCGAAGTAGTGACCGAGATGCAGGATCGCGTTGAACACAGGGGGTACAGCCTGTGCCGCGCGGTCCATGCTCGAGCAACACCAGAACTACGGATCAACATGTATTGCAGATCCCCTCGACTCGCGCAAGGAAAAAGGGAAGCAGAGCTACTGGGCATATATATATATATATATATATATATATATATATAGCTACTTCCACTCCCCAGGTGCCAGGGCGATGTATTTTCAGATGGGGCGAGCGCGGGGCGGCGAGGCCGCGGCAACCGGAGGCCACGCGCAGTAAGCTGATCCCCGGCGAGAGCCGCACGCTTTCAAAGATACTGAAAGGAGCCACCTGAGACACCGTGCGAAAGAGAGAAAGAGAGAGAGAGAGAGAGAGAGAGAGAGAGAGAGAGAGAGAGAAAAAAAAAGAGAGAGAGAGAGAGAGAGAGAGAGAGCAAGGGTGGAGAGGGGGGGAGGCTTGAGCGAGATGGCCACAGATGTCCACCAAGTGCGGCAACTTCGCCGTGGGACGCAGCAAACGCTTATTAAAAGGATCGGCTACATCCACCCCCCAGGTGCCAGGGCGATGTATTTTCATATGGGGGCGAGCGCGGGGCGGCGAGGCCACGGCAACCGGAGGCTATACACAGTAAGCTGATCCCCGGCGAGAGCCGCGCGCTTTCAAAGATACTGAGAGGAGCCGCCCGAACCCCGCAGAGCAATCCAGGCCACGAAGCGTGGCCGAAAACGAACTACGCACGTATACAGAGCTGACACAAGCCTTGCCAGCCGAAAACTTTGCTTTGACAACATCAGAGCGTGAGAGGCGCTAACTGACTTGGAGGGCAGCATTCATCATCCATTCTTCTTTGAGCGCATTGGCTGGAGTGAACGAGAGCGCGAGCAGCGGCGCGGGCGAACTGAGGCGAGTACGCCGCGGCCAGCTCGGCGCGGCGGGCCGGCGCTCCTTTACCCCGACCTTGGAGGATGAGGCGAGGCAGGCCGGTCGAGGAGCAAAGGCCGCCTTTGCCAGAACAAGACCTACACAAGCTGGGAAAGACGCCGGCGTTCCAGCAGGCGACAGAAGTAGGCTTCTCAAAAGGCGTACCGAACTGACGCACGTCCATCTTGAGGACAGTGTACGATGGGTGAGAGAGCAACCTGACCATCTCAGGAGCGTGCCAAAGAAGCGACCCGCGAGGATTTTCCAAAAAGACAGGGCAACCGATCTGGATACAAAGCCGGATGAGCCGGCATGAAAAGTGGAATGACCGATTGCCGAGGCGGAGCCGGTGTAAACGGGCGCCCTCTAAGTTTGGCTTGCCCATGGGATGCTGCATCGAGCGCAACGGATCCCTCAGCGCCTGCGACCACGACGCACACGGAGTGCCCAGCCACAGGCCGACGACGGCCTTGCTGCAACCACCGCGCAAACCTGACTCGAAGGTGGAAAACGGTGTGGGCTTGGATGATAAGCAATCAAATAAAAAAAAAACGAAGAATATAAAATGACAGAAAGAGAAAAGGAGAAAAACATAGAAAAAAAATAAAACACCACAAAAACAAAGAGGAATGAAACAAACAACACAAAAACCACTCAAACTCAACCTCAAACCAAAGCAAAAGGAATGCTGACAATAGAAATAAAAAATTAAACATACAAAGCAAAAAAAACTAAATCACAAATAGCACAAAAAGAAAAAGCGAACAATGACGACAAAAGGAAAAATCAAAAAAATCGATAGCTGATGAGAGGTCCTCGACGGCTCCCTGGGCGATGTCCAAATCCAGGCAGCCGTAGCCCATGCAACGGGCGCGCTGGGAGATGCGGCCGCAGCCGGCGAACAGCTCCAGGAACAGGCAGCACTTCCACTTGTCGGCAGCCGCGCGGGCGCGACGGCATCGCCGCTGCAGATGCTGCCTCGCGGCCGCCGGCGACGCAGTCAGCGCCGCCGGGCGCGCTTGGCAGCGGGCGCGCCGGGGCCTGCCAGAAGGCGCTGGCGGAGCGCCTCTGGCACCGCGTGCGTCGCCAGCGGCAGCGCCGGCCCGCCCTGCAGCGCATCGAGGAAGTTCTGTTCCACGACCTCCCCGAACAGCAGCGCGTCGGGGCCCACCTTGGCGGCCTCCCGGAGGAGGCGGGTCTCCTTGCCGCAACGGCGAAGAGAGGTCAGGGTGGCCCAGCGGCCGCGGCGCATGACCTGCTCCGCCGTCCTCGCACCCGACAGCAAGTCCTCGCTGGCCCCCCCGTGACGGAGGGAATAGAGATGGGGCTGCAGGTGCATCAGACTCAGAGCGTGGCGCGCATCCACGAAGAGCCGAGCAATCGACGCAGGCTGGAAATCCCAGACGGGGCCGTCCCCCGCCACAATCCTCAGCGCCTCCAGAGCGGGCTCGAGCCAGGGAGCCCGGTCCAGGAGCACGCTCTCGCCCCACAGGCTTGTCTTCCCGGGCAGCTGGAGGTCCGAGTCGCGCAGCAGCAGGCCCCACGGGGTCGGGGCCTGGCCCAGGTGAGCCACCGGCGGCACGAGGTGCCGCCCCGCCAGCCGGGACGCTTCCTGCGGGCGGAGGTAGGCCGCGAACGAGACCATGATGAACAGGCCCATGCGCGGCTGGCCCCACGCGGCCAGCGCCCCTGCGATGGCGAAGGCCGCCCGGCGAGGCAGCGGCAGGCGCATCCCGGTAGGCGCCCGGCGGCGCCAGCCCGCCAGGCAGCGGGTCGCCCGCGGCAGAGCCCGCGCGGCCCTCTTGCACAGCGCCGGCGCGTAGTGCGCCATCGCCGCCAGCAGCGCCGAGCCCTCGTTCGGGGCGCGGCCCTCGAAGTACATGGAGTTCAGGTACGTGACCAGCGCCAGGTCCATCGCGGCCTCGCTCGTCCAGTCGATCGCCATCACGAGGCAGAACTGGAGGAAGGCCCGGAGGTACACCTGGTAGAGGCGCTCCGTGCCCGGCCTCACCGCCGTCCGCTCCAGCGCCGACAGGCCGCCGGAGGGCCCCCGCGTCGCCGCCACCTGGCGGGCAGCGGCGGCCCGGCGCTGGCGGTCCGCCTGTCGCCGGGTGGTCGCAGCGCTCGGCATCGGACCCCGGCGTCGGCGCACACGGCGAAACGGTCGCGGGGCGACGGTAGGGCCCTGTAAACCAGCCAAGACGGCCACGAAACAGGAAGTCGGCAGGGTTGAACTCGCTGCAGGTCCAGCGGATGTGTATCGCACAGTTGGAACACAAGGCCATGCAACAAAGTTTACGAAGTGTACGAGGCAGATGAATAGACGCGGCCCTTCCTTACAGCACCCCAGGGCCAACGGCGCGTCGTCGACGAACAATAAGATGTGCTTCCCAAAGGCAGCCCTGGACCTCAATATGTGCTTGACACCCAAGATGCACGCGTCTCCCTCTAAGGCTAAGATGTTGTCGGGCACGATGACCCTCGTGGCGATAACCAGAGCCCAGCGAGCCCCGTCGAAGAACTCCCGGGGGACCTCCATGAACTCCCGAGGGCGCACCCTGATGGAGGACTCGAGCCCCGCGAAGTCCAGGCCGCGCAGTCCCGTAGGCAGCGGAGCTGTACCAGATGTGGAGGAAGGCAGAGGCTGAGGCTGGAAAACTCTTTCACGCGCCCTCTCGGCCCCGTGCGCACGACACCGCCAACGCTCGCACTGGCGGCCATGCTGCGCCGCAGCGCTCGGCTGCACAGACCGCACGGCCACGCCGACTCCGAACTAGGAGGCGTCGCTCGCTCCGACGATGTCGTGCCACGGGCTGCTCAGATCCTTCTGGGGGAGGGGCAGCAGCGATCGCACCAGCCAGAGCTCTTCACGAACAGAGCCCCACATCCGAGAAGTCGCGGGAAGGCCGGCGGCCATGCACGGGTACACGGCGCTCAGCACACATAACAACTCCCGACGTATAAGACAGGCCAAGGTGATGTGGCCGACCAGCACCTCCAGCATCTCGCTCGAGCAGCAGCCCCGACGCAGCACGGTGTCGAGCGCAGCCCGCAGCCGCCACAAGTTGCGGCGCTTGACCGAGAGCCAGCGGCCCTGACGGAGCCCCAGCCCCACCAGCACGGCGTCCGTGGTGGCGTCCGTCTCCTCGTGGACGGTCAGGCCCCAGCTCCGGAGGACGGCGGACACGTCGTCGCGGCGGCGCGTGACCAGCGACGGGTCGTGGCCGAAAACGTAGAAGTTGTCCACGTAGCCAGCGGCGGCGGTGGCGGAGGGGGTGAGCAAGGGCACGCTCGCCCGGCCGTCCTCCACGATCTGGGAGTCCGAAAAGCCCGCCACCGAGACCGCCCGCATGGTCACGGCCTGGCAGAAGTGCATCGCCCACGACCACCCCATGGGCAGTATGATGAGGCACGGCGCCAGGCTGGTACCCGCCGGCAAGATGACGCCGTCGAGCCCGGCGATGCCGGCGAGCGCGGAGGACAGCTTTGGCAAAGTGAAATAGTCCTAGAGGCCCGACATGGGCCGGAGGCGGTAGAAGGCATTGTCGAGGTCACCGCTCGCCACGCACAACGGTGAGGCGCCCGACTCCACCGACGACACCGCAGCCGCCGTAGGAAGCCGCGTCGGGGGCGCCGGGTGGAAGAAGGCGCTGGCGTACCTCGCGCCGAACACGATGCGAAGTTTCCCGGACTTCTTCCTCACCAAAAAATACACCTATCATGTGCTTGTCAGCGGAGGCCACCTTGAAGCGCAGCATGCCACATTGATGAAGACGCCGAACAAACTCGCCATACTGAACTGGGCCCCGTGCCAACCGAGGGTCAACAAAGGGTCCGCGCGGGCAAGCTTGTCGGGCTCCCTCCAGCGCCTCGTCGGGCGTCTTGAGCAGATTATGTCGCCAATCCCGTGCCCAGTCAGCATCGCCCCGAGTAAGGCAGCCCAGAAGGTCAGCCGGGCTGGAACCCACCTCAGGCCAGGAGACCAGCTCCTTGGAGCACGGGACCCGGGCGCCGCCGTCATCCGAGTAGACGGCGGGGCCGCTGAGAAGCTCGCGGAGGGCTTCTTCACAAAAACCTGGCTCGCTCGGCATCGCACCCATGCCCAGGTAGCAGTCCTCCAGAAACTTCAGGCAGGTCTGCTGTCCCAGGTTCTCAGGCGCCGACGGAGGTGCACCAGCGTGGCCACGCAGACGGTTGAGAGCATCCACGCCATGGTCAGCCCACTGCAGCAGCACATCGGAGCGGCGGGGCCGCTGACGCACTGCGCGGCAGGGGCGGCGATCGGCAACGCGCACGGTCCGTCGAGCCACAGGAGGTAGCGGAAAAAGAGCCCGATGACGATGGTCACCAGTGGCGGCGGAGTCGCCGCGAAAAAGGGCCTGGTGCTCGAGCTTCAGCGCAGCAGGTGGCCCCAAGTCCCGCCGCGCGCTCTCCTTCACCCCTTTGACTCGTCCTTGTCCTTGCCCTTGTTGCCCTTGTTGTCCTGTTGCCCTGCGCGCGGGCGAACTGCCGCTCCACCCTCGCCTTGCGCCTCTCCTTCGCCACGGCGTACTCCTTGGACAGCTCGGCGCCGACGTGGGCCAGCAGCTGGGGGCGCGCGCGCGCGTCGCCACGGTTCGACGAGGTGCCGTGGGACAAGTGCGAGTCCAGCGACTCGTCGACACTCGAGACGAACCGCTCGCGCCACCTCTCCTCCTGCACCTGGATGCTCCGGCAGATCATCCCCGCCGCCGCGACGTCCGGGATGTTCAACTGATCGAAGCACACCATCTGCTCGAGGTACGAGCAGCAGCGCTCGTGCTCGGCAACGCCGCCGTCGGTAAGGGCGAGGCGGCCCTCTGACCCCCACTTGCCGTGGCGTCGCCGCAGGCCCGCCGAGGGCGGCCACCAGCCCGGCCACGCAGCGGGGCCCGCGGCCGGCGGCACCAGCGCGCCCAGCGGCGCGGCGGCAGGCACGTGGAGCGCCCGCCCACCCGCGTTGGCCACGATGGGCCCTGGAGGAGCGGGGGGCCCGAGCCGACCCGCCGCGGCGGCCGCGGCAGCCAGGGTCGTCGCTGGCGTCGGCAGGCTGCGGGGCCTATAGTAGCGGGCCCCCGGGGCCCACGGCGTCACGCCGCCCGCGGCGCCCCCAGGGAAGATGTCCCACCTCAACACGTCCGCCGAGCCCACCTACTTCTCCTCGTACTCGTCGCCGTCCGGGGTGAGGATGCTCGCGCTGTCGGGCCGACCTGGCGGCGCCAGCGCCACGAGCCGCTCGTGCATGGGCGCCGCGCCGCCGACGTTGTACTGCGCGCCGATGAAGTCCCCAGGCTGGGCCCCGGAGCCAGCGACCGATGGGCGCGCCGGAGGTGCCGGCGCCGCCATCAGCGCTGCAAGGCCTTAGCGCGAGCAACGCGCGCCTGGGCCCGCGCCTGCCCCGAAGTCCGCCCCCCCGTCAGCGGCCGGCGCCGCGCCGCGCGGCCCGAGGGGGCGGCCGCTCAGGCGCCAGCAGGCCAGCGCCGCGCTGCAGGCCCCCACGAGCCCGCTGGCGGCGCAGGCGAGCGCCGCCGACCAGGGGCCTCGCCCCTGGGCGCTCGACCCCTGCAGGCCGGAGCAGTCGCAGCGCAACTCCGGGCGCTGCAGCCGCGGCGCGCAAGTGCACGCCAGGCACTGCCGCCCCTGGCTGGCGGCGCACAGCGCCAGCCCGGTGCGGGGCCCACGGCCAACCTCCGGGAACAGCGCGCCAGCCGCCGCGGACGCCGCGGCGAACATGCGGGCGGAGTTCGCTCGAGGCTCGAGCGAAATTTCCACTGATGCCCATCAAGCGCGGCAACTTCGCCGTGGGACGCAGCAAATGCTTGTTAAACTGATCACATATATACACACGTCTCTCTCTCTCTCTCTCTCTCTCTAGTAGTATCACCATCTAATAAATACACACTAGCATCTTCGCAAACTTCTCAAGGTAATTAACATTATATATATATATATATATATATATATATATATATATGCAATTAGTAGAAACATGGAAGCGCCGAAATTATGTTGCACACCTACATCTTGTTTCTCGATCCGCGCATTTCGCGTGGTCGCGCGCTCTCTCTCTCTCTCTCTCTCTCTCTCTCTCTCTCTCTTCCCCCGTATATGTATATATATATATATATATTTGTTTTGGTGTTTTTTTTTGTCTCTCTCTCTCTCTCTCTCTCTCTCTCGCTCACTCTCTCTCTCTCTCTGTCTCTCTCTCTCTCCCCCCCTCGCATTTTCCTCTCCTTCCTCTCCCCCCCCCCCTTTTCTAGATGTCGCCCTCTCTGTCTATCCCTCCCCTCTCTCTCTATATATATATATATAGCGATGCCCTTCCTCTGCTGAAGAATCTCCTCTTAAAGCCCAAGGCCGCTCCACTTTTCCGGGCTCGCCACTGCCTCTGCAAACATTATGAAAACACGAGGACGGCCACGGTTAGGGCCGGCCTCGGCTAGCCAAGGGTGGGTGGGCACGGGAGAGCTTGAAGCCAGAGCCCCCGCGCGTCGAGGAATCACTGCAATCAGCGATGCCCTTCCTCTGCTGAAAAAGCCCCTCTTAAAACCCAAGGCCGCTCCACTTTTCCGGGCTCGCCACTGCCTCTGCAAACATTATGAAAACACGAGGGCGGCCACGGCTAGGGCCGGCCTCGGCTAGCCAAAAACCGCTCTTGGTGGAAGACGGGGCGGGGGAGGGACGAGCGAAGAGGGCACCGAAGGGCTCTGTTGGCAGCGGCGGCGGCGCGCGAGGACGGGGACCGGAAGGGCGGGGGTCGACGTCGCTCGGCCTCGGCAATCGACTCGGAGGCAGAAGCTGCCAGGCGGGCCCGCCCAGGGGGGGGGGGGGCGCCGGCAGCCTCGGCGGAAAGCCAGACTTTGCAGCGGAGGGGGCGCGGGAGGTCCGCGAGGAGCGAACTGGCCCGGACCTCCAGGATTTAAAAGACTAGCCACCTACCGGAGAGCCCTCGGCCCCGGTAGCGGACCCAGTCTGGCGAATCTGTGAGCCTATACCCAACGAGGTCCCTCCCGGGCGGAGGGGCGCTGGGGTGATGCCCCCTCTGTCTGAAAGTTGAATTCCGAAGACACCCTGAGGGAATCCAGACAAAATCTGAAAACACGGGCACCACCATGCAAGAGAGAGAGAGAGACGAGGGGAGGACAGAAGTGATGGGGCCATGAGGACATGCACCGCATGTGGGAGATCACTCTAGATGCGCTCGCGGCGTGCTCCCACGCGTCTCGTTTTGGGCGCGCACCCGCGCGCATACCTTGATTACAGACGGTCCAACGTCTGCGAGGGGAGCACCTGGTCCCCGAACCTCAGCGTCAGGAACTCGAAGGGCCTCCCCATCCTGGAGAAGCCGAGGAGCGGGCCGCCGGCGACGTCGCACCAGCCCAGCGCCAGTGCAAGGCTCACCGAGGCGAGCAGCAGCGCCTCCAGCATCGCCTGGTGGTTCGAGCCAGGCGTCAGGTGCTCCCACGTGGAGGAGATGTCCCACGTCGCGTCGAGTGGGTGACGGAGGGCCCGATTTGCGTCCGCCACCGCATAGGTCGTCTCGTCGTAGTCGTGGCGGCCCCGCATCGCGTCGTGGGAAACCGGGCCGTACTTGGACAGGTGGCGGGCCACAGGAGCTGGGTCCATCAGGATGAACAGGTCCCAGCTGGGCTCGCCGCGGTCCGCCAGCCACTGCTGGAGCTGCGGGGCGAGGGCCGCACGGCGCCCATGGACCACTGGCGCCAGGCTGCGCGTGGCCGCCAGGTCCACCCCCGCGGGGCGGGAGGTCGGCGGGCGCGGCGCGGCCGTAGGGCCCCACAGCAGCAGCAGCAGCACCCAGAGCCCGACCGGGCGGGCCCGCGGGTCCGCCGGCCAGGCAGCAGCGGCGCAGGAGGCCAGTGCCGAGGCTCCGCGAGCCCGGCCCTGATGGAGGCCGGCCGCGCCCGGGAGGAGCCGGGCCGTCACCTGACCAGGGGATGAAACCCTGCTCGCCTCCAAGGGGGGGCCTCCTCGGCGCGCCGCCTCCGCCGCGCGGGCCCTCGCCCGGGAAGTCCAGCGCGGGGTCGCGCGCCCGCGGTCGAGGGGCGAGCCGCAGGAGCCCGCGCCACCAGAGCAGCCAGGCCCACCGCGACTGCTGCCGGCGCTGCAGCGGGAGCGCAGCCCAAGCGCGGAAGGCTGAGGCGTCCCCAGCCTCGAGGCCGGCCAGCCAGCTCGGAGCGGGAGACGGAGCCTCGGCCTCTCGGGCCAGATCGCTCGCCGGGTCGCGGAGCGTGCGCGACGGGGCGTCGGCTGGCTGCAGTCGCGTCGGCACGAAGTGGCATCCGACGTAGGAGCCCGTGGCCAGCTGCAACGGGGCCCTCCTTCTCAAGAGCTTGTTGATCGCAGTCGATGAGGAGCGGCCTTTGCTGATGGCCCCGATCGAGACGCGGGAGTCCAGGAGGAGGTTGTGCTTGCAATCAGGGAACCGAAGGCCCTGCTCGCCCACCGCGTCGCAGGCCGCGTCGATCTCCAGCAAGTTGATGTGGAGGGGTTTGCGGAAGAGGCGGTGGCAGTGCAGCTGCCAGGGCGCGAAGCCGACGTAGTTGTTCAGCCAGAGGGCCTCGAACGCTCCAGCAGGCGCCGAGCTCTCCGCCGGCGGCGGCGGAGTCTGTCCGTCCAGGTTGTCGGCGATCAGCTTGGACAGCTCGGCGCAGAAGCCGTGCGGGTAGAGCGCGGCTTTGGGGGTCAGGCCGCCCTCCAAGACCGTGCGCTTGTGCCCTCCACGACAGCGCCTCGCCATAGGCGCCAGCCAGGAGCCCCGCGCGACCAGGAGGCTAGTGTCCTTCTTCCAGGGCGCGCCGAACTGGCACGTCGAGAGGTCGAAGCGCTACACGGCCTCGTGCGTCAGCAGAAACTCGACGATGTGCGTGCACCAGGAGTAGGCCGTCAGGGGGTGCTCGCGCAGGCCGGCACCGTGGCCCGAGAGGAGATGGGCGAACAGCGCCAGCATGCCCACCCTGAAGAGAACGTTCCCCAGACGCGTCGGAGTCGAAGATGGGTCGAAACCCCAGGGCCGCATCCGGGACCTGAGCCTCGGGTGCTTCGCGATGGAGAAGCTGGTGCATGGAACCTGTGATATAGTCATCTTGACGCGCCTCTGCCAGATCAGCCATACTACCCACTCCGCCAGGCGTGAGTCGACCAGGTCCCAGTATTTGTGGCACTTGATGTCTATCCTCGGGCCTGTGCGCAGGCCCCGGTCCGCGAGGTAGCCCACGAGGCGGGCCTCCTCCCCGCAGCAGAGCTCCAGCACGTCGAAGTACTCGATCAGCGAGGCCGTCGGGTCAACGACACCAGGGAGTGGTGCGGCATCCTCCTCCATGTCTTGCAGGACGGCGCCGTCCTCGGGGTTGGCAAGGGCAGCCCAGCCTGAGGGGTAGAGCCATGTGCGAGCGCCTCGCTGCTCGCGCTGGCGCGTCTTGACGGACGCTCCGGCCAGATGCGAGGCGTCCGAGGCCAGAACATGCGGCCCCCACCCTGCGGAGAGGTCGGTGGCCATCAGCGGGAGGCGAACCGCGAACAGAGCGCACTCGTTGCAGGCCGCGCTGCTCAGGTCGAACACCTCGTGCGGGTCGCGGCCGACGTCGACCTCCTTGTAGCAGTAGTGGAGCGACAGGGTCGGCCGCCGGAACAGCGCGGCAAAAAGCCCCATGCCAAAGAACCTCTGCAGCCCGAGCGTAGTGGAGCGTCGACCTCGGGCCATGGACAGGCCCATCCAGGCCAACGCCAGCCTGCGGGTGCGTGAGGCGCCGACGAGCCGGTCGTGGCCCAGGAGCTCTGCCCTGATGACCGTCGCCTCCGCCGCGTCCTTCACCTCCTTGCCCGCGCTGACCCTGAGGCCAGCCTTGGCATAGCCCTCGCGCGCACGTGCGAAGGACTCCTCGATCGCTCGCCGAGCTTCCCGCGAGCCTGGAGCGTCGACCGCCAGACCGAAGTGGTCGCCCAGCACGACGCCCTCCCAAGCAGACCCCTCGGGGGCGAGGTGGCGGTTCAGCACTCGCCGCTCTGGGGGAAAGCTGCCAGCGTGGGCGAGCAGCCGCATGTGGGACTCGCACGCCCAGTCGGGAGCGTTCAGGCCCCCCATAATCAGGCCGCCGTGGCAGGGAACAACTTTCTCGGGAAGCTCGCGACCCTCACGACGGCAGCGCCTCCGAAGCCGGTCCAGCGCTGCGAAACCATCGTAGAGCCTCGTCGGGAGGGGGGGCGCCACGTCGTTGGTGCAGGCCATGTCGTACGCGCAGTCAAAGGCGGGATAGAAGTCCTGGAGGTCGTCCGCCCAGACGCGCAGGACGAAGCCCGCCGGCACCTCCAGGTCCACCAGCGCGGCGGCGCTCGGGGTCAGTCTGGAGAAGCCACCCAGCGGCAGCTCAGCCGAGTTGCGAGCGATGCGATTGAAGACGACCCTCTGCGTGTTGGCGTCCTTGAACACGGGGAACAAGGTACCTCGCAGGGCCTGCGGGGAGTCGGTCACGTCGACCAGCTCCAGTCGCCCCACGTCGTCCCGCTGCTTCAGGTACTGGAGGAGGTCGCCAGGCTTGCCCGCCTGGCGGGCCGGCCTCGCCGGAGCGGGCCGGGTCGGAGGCCCGACCGTGCGCGCCAGAGGGTCGGCACCCGGCCCATCCCGCGCCAGCAGCCGCGGCTCCAGGAACGTGGCGGCGGAGAAGGGAGCCAGGAACGCCAGGGGGTCGAAGTGGCACTCGGCCTTGGCGAAGGGAGCCTTGCTCGGGTCGATGGTCGCCCCCTCGCAGTCAGGAGAGGGCGCCGCGGCGCCCAGGGGGAGATGCATCGCATCCAGGAGATAGTCGAGCAGCGCGTCGGCCTTCTCCATGCGGCCACCTTGCCATTGCAGGGGCCCGCACATCGGTCGCACAAGCCTCCTCAGCCTGGACGCCATCTCGGCCTGAGACGAACTGAGGGGCCTCCCCGCACGGGCACGCGGCGGGCAGCTCCGCGACTCGCCCAGGTGCAGGTGGGAGAGCGCGAGAACGACGGCGTTGACCCACATGTGCCCGACGTGAGTGCAAAGCCATCGCCTGCGAGCGCGCACGCCCCGCGGGGGGGCACCAGCAGCCCACCCGAAGGGCGGGGGGCAGGGCAGCAGACCGGCGGCAGGAGTCGCAACCTCCTGGGACCCAGCGGCGTGCATGGAGGAGCGGACGAAGGCGCCGAAGGCGGTGCGAAGCCCGCGCAGGCGGCGGATCAGGCCAAAGCCCCAGCGGATGCCCACGTCCATCGAATTGCTGCCGCCCACCAGCCTCCTGCGGCCCCCCGCGCGTCCGCGCGGACACGAGGCTGGGGCAGCGTCGCGCAGCTCTCCCGGGCCAGCCGGCCCAGGGGGCCCCGCTCTCACTCGTGGGGGGGCGCGCCAGAGGCCTTGCTTTGGCGCCTTGAGCTCCCCCCCTTTTCTCCGCCCCCCTCGGCCCTCGGTGCGGCGGCCGACGCCAGCTTCCGCCCCGCGTCCCCGGAGGCCCGCGTGTCCTTGGCGTAGCCGATCATGGAGTCGCTCATGCCCGCCTCGCTCGCGGCACCCGTCATGTTGAGCTGGCAATCCCGCCTGGCCATGACGGGGGCGGCCTGGGGGCTGCTCTGGACCTGACGTCGGAACGGCCTCAGGGCGGCAGCGCCGCGCGCGCCGCCAAGTCGCATGCCAGTGCTCTCGCCAAGCTCGTCGTCGCGCCAGTCGCCCGCCCGGAGCGGCAGTGCGTCTGGTAGGCGACCGCCGCTCTGAGTCGGGGCCCCCATCGATGTCGCCTGCTGGGCCAACAGGGTCGTCAGCAGCTCCGCGCGTTTGTCGGCTCCGGCGGGGGCCACAGGGGGCTGGGCCTCCGCGGTCTGGCCCGCTATAGCGGAGGAGCAGAGCTGCGTGGAGACGGGGGCGGCGGGCCCGGCGACAGAGCAGGACCTCGGAGGCCCGGGGTCGCATGGCCGGACGGGGGACGCCGCAGGAGCGGGTGCGCCGCGGCTCCCCGGCTTGGCGGAGGGGGCCTGGCGGCGACCGCAGCGGCGCGTGCGGCGGGCAGGCCCTCCCAAGCTGCGACCCTCTCCCACAGTGCGTTCTGCCCAGCCAGGATCTGCTCCAGGACCTGCTGCTGCTGCTGCGGACCCTGCCTGGCGAGGGCCTTCCAGGTTGGCGCCTTCGGGGAGGCGGGCAGAGCCACCGGCTGCGCGCGCACGGCTGCTCGCTGCCGCTTCAGCTCCGCCACCTCCGCGGCCAGGCGCCTCAACTCCTCGACAGTGCCAGCCCGCTGCTGCTCCAGCAGCTCGCTCGGCGGCGTCGCGGCGGCGGGGGGGGGCAGAGAAGCCCCCCCTGCGTAGCGAGCGCCGAAGCCAGCCTCGGCGGCCGCTGGCTGCAGCTCGGGCACCCGAGGGGGGCCGAGCTGCGGTCCGAAGGTGGAAGGCGACGGACCCATCTCCTGCGGTGCGCCAGGCGCCACGAGCGCGCGCTCGCCAGCGGCATGCCGGAAGTCCAGGGCGGCCTGCATCTCGGCGGGGCCCGCCTTCACAGCAGCCACTAGGTCGGGCCGCCAGCTGTCGTCGTGGAAGACGTACCCTGACATCCTCCAATCGCAATTTTTCAAGACGCCAGTTATTGTTGTGTTCTCGTTTCAAGACGTTGCGAGAAAAACAAGGCAAAGGCATGTAGTGCGTTTTTGCGTAAGTTGGCGTTGTCGTGTTTTTGGGTTTCATGGTGCGTTTGCATTGTTTTCTGTCATAAGACGATCGTTGACAGGGCCTACGGGCCAGTGCCAGCTTGGGCCGACCAATATTGAACCAAAATAGCCGCGGCAGGAGGATGGAGGGTGGCGGGGCGCGCACTTGGCATGCATTAGTGCGCAACGTCCGCGATGGTGAAGCGGGGTGGGCGTCCCGATCGAAGCTGCGCACTGCAGGATCGAGATACGCAATCGTGGCAGCATTCGAGGGGTCTGCTCATGGAGGAGCGGAGACGGGCGCGCAGCGGCCCCATTCATTTCCCTTTCTTTTCTGCAACATATGCAATAGTGCACGGCAGCATAATGCCGCTCACGCGCCAACGCCGCGTTCTGCAGCGTCAGGATCGATTCAAATAGTTGGGGAGGAATAGAATGATGATCTTTATATACATATATACACACACGTCTATATATATATATATATATATATATATATATAGGACGCCCGCACTTTTCATCCGCATGCGTGTGGCGCGTAGTGCATAATGGCGTGCAGGCCATTCAGCCCGAGCCCCCTGCGCCGCTGAATCGTGCGCGAGGCGAGCGAGCCCTAGGCTAAACTTATAGGATCGAGAGATGAGAGGAAGAAACATGCACCTCTCAATGCTATATACACACAAACATCCACACATCATGCGCAGGCATGCGTGCACGGAGACGACACTGCGTGGTGCAATTCGAGGGGGGTGTGCTTTTTGGTCCCAGGATCCTGGGTCGGGGCCAGGGCGGAAAAAAACACCCTTGGAACAAAAAAACCTTGGAACAAAAACACGCACGGGAAACCCGAGCACCGCGCGGACGACCGCCGTTTTCCGTCAAGAGCAAGCGTCGGTCATAACCACCATGCACGATGATGCGGCCACGCGCGTCGACCAACTGTGGTGTTAATCGACGGAGAGAGGTAGAGATCCCGAGTGAGGAGGAGGTGAAGGGGATGGGCGTTATTTCCAAACGTTCATGGTGGCAATGTCAGTGGCGCTCATCTCCTGCGCATCTGTGACCACGTGGCGCTGCATCGGGCGACGTCCTGTGATCACGCGCCTAGATCCCCGACGTCGTGATTTTTTTCACAACGTCGACCCCCAGAGGTCTGTCGCTCCCGAGGCCCAGTGAGAGCACCCAGAGGCCGAACATAGCGAAAAACCGCCCGTCGTGATTTTTTCACGACGCCAGGAGGTCTGGGGTCTGGAGGGCGGCCACATAATGGGCCGTTTTCGCGACAGCGGCCGCGAGGAGGAGGTGGGGGAGGATGAGGGCTCTTCCCCAAGCGTATGGTTGCAAATTGGTATGATCTCGCACTGCGCCCCTGGGCACGCGTCGCTGCATCGGGCGAGCGATGCGGGGGGCGAGGTGGGAGGATGGAGTAGGAGGGTGGGTCGTTATCCTCGAAGTTGCACGCGCATGCGTTAGCCACGTGTCGGCGCACGTCCCCGCGCCAAGCCCTCGCTGCACGGATCGAACCGGATCGAGGGGGGAGGGGGGCGAGAAATTGGCAGGCGCAGCGTGGGCGGCCCTTCTGCATTAATGCAGCGGCCAGCTTCACGTGCTAATTCTCCGAGAAAGGAAAGGAGAGGAAATTATGTAATTGTCCGAGAAGGGAAAGGAAAGGAAATTATGTAATTATGATAGGAACACGCGCAGGGGTGACGGCGAGGATGCGGAGGTTGGCGGGGCGAGGGCGGTGGTTTCAATCGAAGGAGGGAGAGATGCTGGGGGCCTGCAGCTCGCTCCCGCGGGAGCAGTACGGTCGGCAGGTCGGCCCTGACAGATTCTCAGGGCTGCCGCGCAAGGAAACGTCTATATATATATATATATATACACACATAGACGTCGGCCGTGACTATTCTCAGGGCTGGGCCGCTCACTGGATGAGCCTCGGCCGCGCCCGCTCTGGGTCGACGGGGAGAGGTTGGATCGAGCGCCGCGCGCGGGGCCAGCCTCGGCAGGGCACGGGGGCGGGGCCGAAAAGCATGGATCGATCGGTTGACCGACCGAGTGCTCGATCGATCGAGCGATCTCGATCAGTCGACCGATCGACCGATCGATATCAAGCCTTTCGGCCCCTCAAGGCGGGACGTGCGAGAGCTTCAAGGCATGGAGGCACGCATGGCCCCCGTGCCCTGCCGAAGTTGTCTGCTTTGCAACTCGAGCGTGATCGAGGCTGTCGAGTCGAGGGAGCAGGGGAAAGGCTTCGAAGTCCGCTCGTGTTGTAGCTACCTGAAAGTTCTTGTGGATGCGAGGGGTGGGGGTGGGGGGAGTGGTGGGGGGGGGGATAAGCTAGGGGGGGGGGGGTGGGGTGGCGGCGGGGTCAGAAAAATTGTGTATTGGCATGTAGATTCAACAGATCTATGGCTATGAACATAAGGTTATGTGACATGCTCCGGACGATTAACGTATGTGATCCTGTCTCCCGTGACAACCCGAGGCGGAGGGACCAGGACCTCTGTTCCACTATTTTCCAGTGCGGGCTGCCAGGGTGTAAAGCAGTCCTTCTGCCCTTTTCAAGTGCACCCGGCTGGGGCCGCCTTGAGCCAAAGCGGTTGCAGTAGCAGCTGGCGCGCGCGTGCCAGACGTAGCTGGCTTGCCAACCGGCGATAGACAATATGTTATTACATTGACTCAAAAAAGTAGCTGCGGACAGCACAAATGCATGCATCATCGATAGATCGGCGATGGCTTTGGCAATAAAGTCTGCAAGTACAATCGTGAATCGGCATGAAGGTGAATGTTGGGGATAAGATAATGGAAAATGGAAAGTTAGAACATGAGAGTTTGGAAGGAGGAGATGGTAGTTGAGATTAGAGGTGATTAAAAAATATATAGGTAGTTTGGATGTTAAGGATTGAATTTCTTAAGATTAACAATATGGGAGAAGAGTAGGGAAATAATATGATAAAATTAAGTGGATAGTGGTAATGGATGTGAGATTAGGAAGATGCGAGGGGGCTGACGAGGGGTTAGAAGGGGAGGGGGGAGGGGGATAGAGGGATAATGGTAAAGATAGGATTCTCGTTTGGTATAAATGAGCTTCCGTCGGGGGGGTCTTCTGTGCCCGCTTCCGTGACCTCAACCGTGGCGTGTCGATCTCGTCTTCTGCGGATACCCAACAGCCGCGGCCCCATTTCCTTGATTGCAAGGCTCGGCGAGGAGAGGGGCGGTCTCGACGCAGCGAATGCCCTCCTACGGCCCCAGCGTCTTCCGGTACTTCTGATTCCACTCCGGAATGACGAAGAGGGTGTGTGAAGCTCGCTCTCCCAGCCGGGCGACGCCGGCAAGGATCAGCGTAAGAGCCTCTCTGGCTAGCACCTGCTTCTCTCCAGGCTCGGAACCCGGAGCTGCTCCAACCGTCTGCGTCGAGCCTTGGCCAGCAGCCCCCTGACACCCGTGGGCGGAGGGGCCGCTACCCGACGGCTCAACCTGCTCCTCTTCCTCGTCCGTGTTCTCTAGGTCGACCTGATGCGCCGGCGTCGCCATGGACTTCGCGCCCGAGCCCGCAGCCGCACTGTCGTGGACCTTCCCGGAGGCCTCCGGCGCCGCAGAAGACGATGAACATGAAGAAATTGGCGTTAACGGTTTCTGGCCGTGCTCCTTGCACGCGGACAGATAGAACTCGTAGAGGTCGCCCTGGTACGTCTTCTTCGTCTCCTTCAGCGAAAGCAATCTGGAATCGTCCTTCAGAGACCAGATCTGTGCAATCCGCTGCCAGTACGCATCCTCGAGCTTAGGGCCGTCGCCGGCTTCGTCCCCACTCTGCTGTGGCCCGGGTGTCACTCTGGTGCGGTGGTGGACCGCAGCACTGCGCAACAACCGGAGTCAACGAACCATCGCCGCCCACCACGTCGAATCAGACTCCCGGACGGTGTTGTGCTCCCCCGGAATCGGCGGCAGATCGGCATTCATCGCGTTCCTCGTGTTCTCTAACATGGTGGACGTGCTCATTTTCGTGAGGCTGTCGGCTGCCATGTCGCTCGTCGGGCAGTACCTGAGCTCGATGTTGCCCAAGAATAACAAAAAAAAAAAAAAAAAAAATGAAAGAAAAAATAAAATTAAGAAACAAAAAAAAAAAAAAAAAAGAAAAAAAAAAAAAAGAACAAAAAAAAAAAAAAAAACAAGAACAAAGCGCAAAAAAAAAAAAAAAAAAAAAAGAAAAAAAAAAAAAAAAAAAAAAAAAAAAGAAAAACAAAAAACAACACAAAAAGAAAAAAAAACAAAAAAACAAAACATAAAAACGAAAAAAAAACAAAAAAAAAAGAAAAAAAAAGAAAAAAAAAAAACAAATAGTTAGTGTTTAAACATGAAATTCAGAAAAAAAAAACAAAGGAAAAAAAAAATGAAGCTTCTCGTCTGCCAGCCTCCCTGCACGAACGGCGAAATACCGGGTTCTCCAGGAACCCCCGAACTCGGCGACGCTCAGGGCTGATTTGTTGTCTATCAACAATATGGCAGGGCGCAGCTGCACACCCCACTCCACCAAGAGCCCCTTGAGCCCCTCGATGATTTGAAAGGTGATGGCTGCGGCGGCGACCTCTGCCTCGCACGTTGAGAGCGCAGCAGTAGGTTGACGAGACGATCTCCATAGAACGACTCCCCCTGCCCATGATACGAGAACTCCGGTCTGGCTTTTGGTCCCCAGTCCCCCATATCCTGCGTCTGACCATCCCACTAATGCTCCCTCGTCCCCTCCAGCAGGAAGTCGTAGTCCGTGTTTGACTGTCCCACATAGGTAACGAAGTACTTTTTTACATAACTGCAGGGTCCAAGCTCCGTGTTTGGTTGCAGTAGATGATATGATACTAGTGTAATATGCCAGATCAGCACGCGTACGGGTGGAAAGCCAATTGAATTCGCCCGCAAAGCCCTGTAGGACCTTCAGCTCCCCGGCAGTCGGGGGGCCGTCTGCCGCATCTGGCACTGCCATTTGTATTGCGGCAATGGGCTTGCTGAGTTTGTCCAGGCCGTGTTTGGTGAGCAACTGTCTGATGAACGTCTGCTGATGTATCAGTAGATCACCGCTCCCGGCGTCGATCTCTAGCTCCAGTCCAAGAAACATGAGTGGTGTAGAAGATGTTAAATGCACTTCTGTCGACATTTTCCAAAGACTCCGAAGTTGCGCTGTTAACGTGTCTCGAATATCACCAGATGGCATGAGCAGTAGCATGTCATCTACGTAACACACCAAGAGTCCCAATGTCGTGGTAATCCCATCTTCAACTATTCGCCACACCTGGGAATCAGCAGCACACTGTTTCAAGCGATAGTTACGGCCCTGATTGCTGAAAGCAGCCTCTCGGAGCCGGGCGTCTCGCTCGAGCCCCCACGCTCTTGGAGAGCATCGAAGACCGTATACCGCCTTCCTGAGAGTCCACAAGGTGTCTGGAGGTACCAAGCCAAGCGTAACCCAAATCTTGGGCGGCCGGACCACCACCAGGAGGTCATCCGGCAAAGGAGCATACATAAATGCACCCTTGATGTCCAACTTGCCAATGGACCAACGACGGATCTGAGCGAGCCTCAGGCCCGCCATAACAGAGCTGGTTTCCGCCTGCGCCGTCCACACTTGCTCGGTGGGATCTTTGGTCGCGAAGTTGCCACAGACACATCCACGGCACTTGTGTACTCCTCCTCTCTTGCGAGTCCACACCGCTTTCATAGGCAACACGCGTGACTGTCCACCCACTGCTGCAAGCTCGGCGGCTGTCGTATCGCTGACCGCCCCCATCCTGTAGAACGACTCGTGTACCTCCTGCTCGGCAGCCAGTCTCCACTGCTCACGTTCGGGCCCTGTGGCTGCCCGGATGTCTCGTTCCGGAACAGAAACCGCCCCTGGCTCGAGCAACAGTTGAGATTCGGCATCTTCGTCGAGAATACAGTGCTGTTCGGTGTCGTATTCGCCTGGCTCCCCCGTAACTGCAGCGGGCGCCACAATTGGGAGCGGCTCCCAGATGCCTCGGTAGCGGAGTTTCTTCTTTCCACGTCTCCGGCGCGAACGCCGAGGCTGGATATCGTTATCGTCCTCTGCGTGGTCATGAGATTCTTCTTCTTCTGGTGCATTGGATGCCGGCGCCGCCGCGGCAGCGTCGACAGAAACGATCTCCTGGGAGGATATCGGTTCGGACCATACGCTCGGACCCACGACAAAATGATCATCATCACTATTGTCTTCAAGCTCTAGCAAATCATCCTCGGTATCTGGTGCATCCGTGGTTGCTCCCCCGTGCTCGCTGAAGCATTGGGAGGTTGCGTAAGTAGCTTGTGCGGTTGACTCAACGTCTGACAATGACAAAGCGGCATGAAGATACACTGCAGGCGCTACTCCGTGCCGATGTGACTGCGCATCCCGTGACACCCGAGGGCGGAGGGACCGCATGTCATTGTTCAGTGCACTGGATGACTGTGGAAGCGGTTGTTCGTCAAGAAAACCCACAATCTTCTGCTTGCCTGCGGGCACTTCACCCGGCTGCTCTTCCGCGGACGGCTCCCCGTTGGCGAGCCCATCGAGTATTTCTTCAGACCGAACACGTGGTTGCTCAGGAAGCTCTTCAACCCGCGGTGCCTCTGCTGGAAGCTCGTCTTCGCCAGCTCCTGGTAGTAACACCTGGCCATCGAACAGGGACCCTCTTGCGAGATTGTCGCCGCACTGGCCTATTTTCGTTGCGTCCCAACTATCTGAATTGGGAACCGCGCATGGGGCAATGGGCGTACCCCACTCCTCCATGTGAGCTTTAACGAACACGAGCTCTTCTGCCTCCAGAGACGAGGTCTGGATGTTCACAACTTCCTTGAGTCTACCATCCTGAAATACAACCATCCCACCAGGCACTCGCTCTGACGGACCAAATACCGTGGCAGGCTGTGCCCTCGGTACGAAGGCATTCCTTGGGATAGGGTCCTGCACAACCATAACTCTAGTGCCGTATGCGATCGCCGGCCATGTCTCCAGGCCCGCGGCGCATCTCGAGTAGAAGGCTGCTGTAAGCACCGCTGTTCCCCACCAGCAGCTTGGGTGGCGTGCGCCAGTCAACAACTGTCTAGCTTTCCGCTTGAGGTATCCAATTGCGTTCTCACCGGCTCCATTCGCAGACGGGTCGTACCCAGCTGTTGTCGTTCTGCGGATACCATGGAATTCGCAATACTTTTCTAAGGAAGCCGCTAAGAATCCCTGACCTTTGTCAGAATGCACTCGAAACACAACGTGCCCAGGAAGATGTCCGTGATCATCCCGCACACGAGCCAGCAGTCGCTGCACGGCAGCAGAAGTTTCCGCCTTTGTGGAGACCACTTCAGCGTAGAGCAGTGGAAGCCTCGGGTGGCGTTGTCGTGGCTGCTGCGGTTGCTGCTGCTGTGGTTCAGGTGGTTGCTGCGGCCGCTGCCGCTCTGGTGGCTGCTGTGGTGCTGGTTGTTGTTGCTGTTCCACTGGCTGTTGTGGTTCTGGTGAGTGCTGTGGTTGTTGGGCGTCGTCTGTCGTCTGTGCGCTCTTTCCATCAAGGTCTGCGTCGCCATCCGGATTGATCGTGAGAGCCACAAAATAATGGCCAGAAAAAAAAAAATAAAACAACAAAAAATCACCAGACAACCAAAAAAAAAAAAACAAAAAAAAAAAAAGATAAAAAAACAAAATAATGGCCAGGGCGTTGGCCAATCTTCGCTCCGGCTGTTGGAGTAGGCTCGCGTGGTCCTGACAGATCAACAGACGCCGTTCCAATCAAAGTGTTGGTGCGCCTCCGGTGTTGGTGTCTTCGCTGTGCTGCCGCCTGCCAAGTAGACGACGCCTTGTCGTAGGGGCGGAACTGCCACGGGTCATCCGTCAAGGTGCCTGTCACTAGGTCCTCCACGCAAGGCGCACTGGAAGATTCGTCCAATACTTCTTTGTCGTCAACTCGCGCGGGTGCGGCTCTGGTGGTCTGTTGTGGCTGGTCACACATGAGCATACACACGTTTTCCTGAATGCTCTGACACATCAGCTCAAGGTTTTGAAGCTGTTCTTTCATCAAAGCAAGCTGTGTTGTTGAGTCGTCTGGTGTGTGCGTGTTCTGGCCCGCAGTCCCATGACACCCGGGGGCGGAGGGATCGCGAACCGTGTTTGCTTCTGGCGTGCGCGCGGTCTGGCCCGCAGTCCCATGACACCCGGGGGCGGAGGGATCGCGAACCGGTTGAGGGGAGGTGGCGTGGAGTGGGGAGGGGGAGCGAGGGGGGGGGTTGCCGCGCAGAGATCCCCATGACACCCGGGGGCGGAGGGATCGCGAACCGGTGCGTGCGTGTTCTGGCCCGCAGTCCCATGACACCCGGGGGCGGAGGGATCGCGAACCGGTGTGTGCGCGTTCTGGCCCGCAGTCCCATGACACCCGGGGGCGGAGGGATCGCGAACCGGTGTGTGCGCGTTCTGGCCCGCAGTCCCATGACACCCGGGGGCGGAGGGACCGCTAACCACCACTGCAACGTGTAGCTCTGCATCCGGGCCCAGATTTTGCACCTGGAGCTGTGGATGTAGTCGTAGCCACGGCGTCACAATATGATCCCAAGCAGCAAGGCGCCCTTGTCGCTGAGCGTGCACACGAAGCTCTCCAAGTACAGCCCCAATTGCTTGGAGCATGTCAAAATCGGACAGGTGGGAAGCCTGGATGCTGATACTCCCCCCACGTTGCGTGGTGGAAATCCTCTGAACAGTCTGCAGAATAGCACGGCAAAGGTCATCAGGGTATACTGCTGCCTGGGCA